TCTGGGATGTCGGCCATTGTGATGATTACTGGGTCTTGTTCAGGGAGGTCACTGTGGTCTGCTCTCAGGTCCACCAGCCACTGGGCGTTGTTGTTATGTGATGCCTCCTTCTCCCATATGCTCTTCCAGAATTGTTCAGTCTCCAGCCTTGGTGGGTCTGCTCTCATGTTATTACCCTGCCACTGAGAATACACCTTGGATGGCTCAGTGGAGAACATTCAGTTTGCTCTTCTGGCTTCAACTTCTCTGGCGTACCTCTTCAGCTGGGTGGCAAGGGCTGTGAGCCTTTGCTTGGCAGTCTCTAAGATCTCAGGTATGGACAGTGTGTTATACTTCTTAGGTACCCCTTTCTTCATCACACCTTTTTGCAATTCCGATATATATAGAGGCAAGGGTCTACCATACCAGACAGGACCCCAGGTGCAGGCTGTGCAAAGATGCCCCCGAGACAATGCAGCACATAACAGCGGTGTGCAAGATGCTAGCAGGCAGGGCATATATGGAATGCCATAACCAAGTGGCTGGCATAGTGTACAGAAACACCTGTGTCGAATACAGGCTGAAAGTCCCAAAGTCAAAATGGGATACACCTCCAAAGGTGGTTTCAAAATGACCAAGCTAAGATCCTGTGGGACTTCCAGATACAAACTGGTAATGGCCAACCAACCGGACATAGTAGTGGTGGACAAACAGAAGAAGAAGAAGGCCTAGTGATAGATGTAGCAATCCCAAGCAATAGCAACATCAGAAAGAAGGAACACGAGCAGCTCGAAATACCAAGGACTGAAAGAAGAGCTAGAAAAAATGTGGAAAGTGAAGGCACGAGTGGTCCCCGTGGTAATAGAAACATTGGGGGCTGTGACCCCCAAACTGGGAGAGTGGCTCCAACAGATCCCAGGAACAACATCTGAGATCTCTGTACAGAAGAGTGCAGTGCTAGGAACAGCCAAGATACTGTGCAGGACCCTCAAGCTCCCAGGCCTCTGGTAGAGGACCCGAGCTTGAAGGAAGGAATA